TAAACCATCAACTTTCCCCCTATTAACCATAAAGAAAAAAAAAACATTTAAATTATCAAACACATGCATATTATGATCACCCACACCAAATTTTAAGCATCAACATCACAATAAACAAGATCTCAACTCTTTGGATTAAAGTTACAAAAGTTTATTACTATTTGGATTCAAACATGATCACCCACTATAAATTAAAGTTGATTGATTTCATAAACTCCTTTGTTTATTGGTCTACCAACCATGTTTGAATCCAAACAGTAATAAACTTTTGTGATGTTACACCTACTCTTAGCTCTTAAGATCAATGTTTTAAAAACCAAACCAAAGGTCAAACTATTTTGACCTCTGGTTCTTGGTTTAGCCATTTTAATCAATTAGGTCATTCAAACTACTAGTTCAATTGAATATGAATAAATATAAATTTATAGTGGTTTTACTGATTGGTTGTGTTATTTGCTATTGGTTCAAATCCGCACTATATCAAATTTTATATTATTATGGTTCTAACCTATAAGATATTAATGTTAGTGCAAAGAGTTAACCAATATTGCTCTCCACATCTGGTGGAGGAAGCCTTCATCCTTTATCAAGGGGAGAGAAGTTCAATTCCCTTGAATGGCATTTTCAATTCTTTTCTTCTTAAATATAAAACAAATAAAAGTTTAAGCAAACCATGTCAACTTCTGGTGTGATGCTCTAGTGGCAAAAGTTATTTAAAACTTCCTTGGAGTATATGTGCAAATAAGAATACTAACTTTGTAATTTGTTTCTATTTAAGGATGTAAACTTTGTTGGTTTCTAAATAAGGTGGTTAACTTTTAACATTTTCTATTTAAAGATGCCAATTGAGTTTTGTTCTATTTAAGGATTGATTGAAGGGGATGTTGATGTGGCAAATGGATTTTCTAAATAGAATGCTGATGTGTATAGACGTATCGTTAATTTGCTTATGTGTTTTGTTGATTGGACCAAAGAAATTAAAAAAAAAATACATAGTGGGCTCATTTATTCAATCAAACTTTCCAATAGTGATTTTAAACAAATATTATTTGTTTTCTCTTGAATCCTTCTCTCTCTCTCTTTTTTTCTACATCACTGCCCTCTCTTCTTCTTTGTTGTTTTCATCCTAGGTCTAGTTTTAAATCACAAACGAAAAACAAATCTCAACAAAAGAGATGCATTTTCTAGTCCCCCAACAAAAGAGATACAAAAGAAGAATTCAAAAAAGGTATAATTCCATAATTTCTCCCTAATTCTATCATTGATTGTGTTATACTATTTTTTTTTTTTAAGTAATGTATTATTTTTTGCAAGGATTCTAGAAATGCAAAACCAAAAAGACAAAAAAAAAAAAGAAGTTCCCCAACAAGGTTGAGCCTTCATGCTCACAGCAACAGTCCACACTTTCAAGTCAATGCCTCACACAAGAAAGTCAAAACTTTAGTGTAGACCAACCATGAATCTATGTTATTGACTATTTTTTCTTTTTTTTTTTTTGGTAGGAGTTGTCTTTGGTGTGGTCTAATTATTTTTTATATGAAATTGATCTATGTTTATGTTGGCAAAAGCCATTTATGTTTGGGTCTGTGAAGTCTATTTTAATGGTAGTGATAAATATAGATACTTAGTTGACAAGAGCTGACTATTTTGTAAATCTTTAGTTGTGTTGGACAGCTTTTGTCTATATTTTTACATGTGTAGTTGTGTTTTGAAGCTTATGGACAAAATGAAAGCTAATTTTCAATCATTATTTCTCAGTTTATAGACAAATTATTCCACTTTTATATTTTGTTTTTTAGTTGATGCACAAAATGGAACTTGTTTTTCTATTTAGTATATTCAATTTAATATTTTATTCAATTGCACAATAATATGCACAAGAGAATTTGATAAGGAATATGACAAGTTATATTCCAAAAGAAAATATTGTACAATGCCATTTCCAAGGCGACTTGGCCTTAACATCAAAATACATTTCACACTTAATAGTTCTACATCCAAGACCATTTCTACAATCTAAACCAATAGATACAATAACAACACAAAAAAATAGACCACGATCATAACAAAAGCCTTCCTGTAGAGCTCAGCTATTTGGTGATTTACTTTGCCATGTTTCTCTACAAAGCTTTTTCTCTGCTTTATATTACTCAATGTTTCCTCAGTAGTGTATAATTTGTCCTCAACACTACTCAACTTTTCTTCTGCAGTTTTCAACTTTTGTTTAGTTACCTATAACTCACACTTCGCTGACACTATTTCAATAATATAATCATTAAGCCCTTTTAATTTCATTTTCTCAATATCTAATTTAGCCCTTAATTCACTTAGCAATTACTCATTCAACCTTTCTTTTTTCTTTAGTTGAATTCAGTAGATTAACAAAGATGATGCTGCATAGGATTATCCATCCACACCCAGAATTTGCACTTCCTCTTCCCTTGTAATACCATTTTTCACAAACCATCAAATTGGCGCAAAAAGAAAAATAGGTAATAACAGGAACTTTTGTCAAAACCCAAACGAAAAAAAGGAGAAAAATTGAGAAAAATCCATTACAAATCCCAAATGCAAAAAATTGAGAAAACAACCCCACTAACAAAAAATTAAACATTTTATTTTACCATATATCAAAAATAGGGCAGGCCATGTATTTTCTCCAAGGATTATCAAAGCTTGAAAACATCTTAATGGGAACCCTAATCCCCTAGTCACAAATAGCTTTGGCCATAAGAATTGACTAGATCTACCACTCGAGTGTAAAAAGGATGAACTAGAGCTTGACATTTTTGTCTCTGAACCCATGAGATCTGTTTTCTGTTTGTGATTTGAAATTAGATCTGGGATGAAAACAAAGAAGAAGAAGAAAGATTGGTGGTCCAAAAAAAAAAAAAAAGAGAGAGAGAGAGAATGCAATTTTGGGAGAAAACATATTAGATTTGTATAACATCACTATAGGAAAGTTTGATTGAATAAATGGGCCTACTAATCTGATTTTTTAAAATATTTTCTAGTCCAATTAGCGAAACACATAGCAAATTAACGATATGTCTATGCACGTTAGCATTCCATTTAGAAAATCTGTTTGCCAAGTTAGCATCCCATTAATTAATCCTTAAATTAAAAAAAAAAAAAACTTAAAAGTTAGCATCCTTAAATAAAAAAGCTAAAAAATTAACTACCTTATTTAGAAATTAATACAATTTATAGCTTTAAATAGAAAAATTTACAAAGTTGGTATCCTTATTTACGTCTTTACTCAACTTCCTTGAGGTTATGTTTGAACCCTAGAGATGGCAAAGCCAACTCATCAGAACCCAGCCACCCAGCTCATCAGAACCCAGTCGATCTGGGTAAGAAAGAAAGAAAGAGAAAGAAAGAAGGGGAAGAAGAGGGATCTGGGTAGGAAAGAAGAAAAGAGAAAGAAAGAAAGGGAAGGAGAGGGATTAGGAGATGAGGGTAGTGTTGTAATTTTATTTTTTAATTAAAATATAAATATTTATTTACATGACATTTTTATTTATCTACATACTATAAATATAATATATATATATAATTACCATGTCATCAAAAAAAAAAAAGTCAAATGAAATTATTTAATTGTCACCTCATATTTAATTGATGGAAGGACTAAAATTATGTAATTTTTAGAATTAAAAAATAAAAAAATGAAAAAAAATAATTTAAGACAAAAAAAGTGCAAATTTATAAAGTTGAGGTACCAAATTTAGTATTTAACCTTTTTTTTTTTTAATTTTCCACGCAGGGAAAGGTGACATGGAGGGTGTAATTAAATCCTTGTAAGCATCTTTGACATGTTGGCATATCCACATCAGCCGTTCCAGTTAAGTTAACGTGCCACGCAAGCAAAAATTAACGGAAGGACCAAAAAGGGGCCGGATTTTAAAATTTAGGGATAAAAAAGGGGATTTTTTCGGTATAGGAACCAAAAAGGGGCTTTTTCCTATAGTTGAGAGACCAAAAAGGGTATTTAACCTAAACTGTTTAACTTCCCTATTGGTCTTAGATAACCCGCCTAACCTATTTATGTTACTAAGTATCGGTTTGATAGGTCTAACTAGCCGATCTGGTCCAATTTTTAAAACAATGCTTAAGATATATCTTGTTTGAGGAGAATGCAAAATTTTTCAACCAATCAAATTGCAATACTTGACAACTTAATTTATTTAATTAAAAAACTCATCTCTTCCTTCCTTTCATTTCCCTCAAACCAAGCTCAAGTAGGGTCATCCAAACCTTCTTCTTTGTAGTTCGTACTTGTATTATTAAGTGTCATCTTGCAAAAAATTAAAGTAATCCATGAAATAACAGCTTGAACCTCCATCTTGCATATATAGGGCTTAATTCAATTTTTAGTCTATTAACTATCAGCTTAATTTCATTTTAGTCTAAAAAATTTAGTTTCTTTCTAAATGGTCTATAAACTTTGGAAATATTTCAAAATAGTTTACCAGTACAAAATTTGGTTAGATTTAACTAAAAGAGTAGTCCGTCAAGTTTTGAAAAAGTGACATTATAATCCTAATAAAATATGATGACTCAAGACATATTTTATAGAGATAGATTAATTAAAATTTGTAATAAACGTGAACAACTAGTCTGTGTTACATGGCAGATTGTATGCAGTCTATCCTAAAAAATATTTAAATGTTCCTAAAAGATAATATAAAAATAAAATTAAGAGCATTTAAATAATTTTACAAGACAAACCGCATACAATCTACTCTGTAAAACAATTTTCTAAAGAACACATTTAGCAAGATAAGATTAAAAATTATTTTTACAGTGAATATAAATTTAAGGATTAAAAAATCAAAGGAAATATAGTTAGAAGACTAAATATTTTATTAAAGAATAAGAAAATTTCGTCGATATTTCGATTAAATATAATAGACTAGATGAAATTGAAATAAATATGAAAGTTAATAGACTAGATTGAAAGAATTCAAAGATAATAGATGAAACTGAAAAAAATATGAAAGTTAATAAATGATTTGTTAAATTAACCCTGCATATAGTGATAAAACATAAGAAAACCGCATGGATGATTTTCTTCAGAACGCAAAGGTTCTAGCAAGTTAATAGTAACATTACAGAGTCGAAATGATAAATATACAAGGAAATGAAGTTTCAGGACACAGAGATCCTGCATTGTCTGTGGAAGCAATAATTGCCTTTTCCCGGATTCCATACAATCAAGACTATTACTTGAGAGATCTATAGAAAAATGAGCAAGGGATGAAAGGTTGCAATCAGAATGGTTCTGTAGCTGCCTCCTCTATGTAAGCCTTGGCCACCTCTTCTGTAAGCTGGTTACCTTCTACCAGACCTTTTACTAAGATGTTTGCATATTCCTTGCAAGGAGGCCGCAATGGCAGCTCTCCTGATTTGAAGCTTTCAATAACTGAGAGAGGACACCTGAACAAAAATCAATGAAAGAAAAAAGGTAGAAACTTAAGATGTTTGTATGTGTGGTATATATTTATAAAGAAAATACTAGAAGATAACAGAAATATTAAATTGTACGTCATTGTCAGAATTGGCATCTCGCGCTCCTTTCCCAAGTAAAGGACATTGTGGTACCACCCCTCCTGCATAAGAAGAGACAAATTGATTCAACACTTCAACATTGCAGAAGAAATTTCCAAGTGATAAAAAAGAAATACAGGAACAGTGCAGGTAAACAAAAATATGAAAGCCCTTTAGCCATAGCCTAACAATGGCTAGAAAACTTGTGACATCTTCAAATCTAGGATGGACATGAATAGATTTGGAAAAAACAAATGCACACATAAGGCACGAAAAAAATGAAAATTAACAAGGATAATGACATACCTTGACAGCTTCCACAGATATGGATCCTTTATTAGATATGGAATTCAAAGCATCCACATCAAACAAAGGAGAGCTCATGTCATAATTTGAAACATTTTCCTGGAGTAGAATATCATTGAATTGCTCTAGCCTGTTCAAGAAGCAAGAGAATAAGTATTAAGTACTTCAAATAAAGATGAGAGTGGATTATCCCCTTAAAAGGGAGTTGGTCTAGTTACAATAGCTTTTTGTTTTCCTACTTCAGATAAAGATGGGAGTCAATTACCCCCTTAATGGGAGTTGTGCCTACTTACAAAAGATCTTTATTTTCCCATGGTGCAGTATAGAATAACACTTTCAAGGCCAAACATATCATAAGAGGATGAAATAAACTCACGTAATTCTGTATAGGCACATGTGAGTTTTGCACTGGTTGTCACGTTTAGGATGAAGGAAAGCAATTCCTCCAGGACCCCAAGTATGTGTAGATTCTCGGCCAAACAATAAACGGTGAGAGAAAGTTCTCCACAGAATCTCTTTAGGGGGATGTCCATCCATTGAACCAGAACATGGCTTTTTCATGCCCTCCACCTGAAAGTTATTTCACAAATATTAAAAATTAAAATTGGGAAAATGAGATTGGGGAAAAGGGGGAGGGGACAACTAGAGGCTAACCATGGAAGACTAGTAAAAATCACATCCAATTATGTAGAGAGTGATGGCAACAGCATGCAACAGCTGAGCCCTGTTTTTACAAGGATGGTCCTACCTTTCCACCTTCAATATAGCAGAGGAGTCTTGACCTCGACATATTAGATCCATAAGTGGCATACCAAATGTCAATCTTGGAAACATCAGATCTCCAGGGGACAAAAGTGCTAGCAGTTTGGTCTGCATTTACATTTGACTTTTGCATCTAAAATTAAACCAGAGAGAAACATCCAACAAAATACAAAAGAGAAACATTGTCAGGACTTGAGAACTTTCAATTTCAACTTTACTACCACAATTACCTTCAACTTTTAGATTTGAAAGGGATGTAACAACATCTTCAACAGCTGAAACCAAGTCAGCTGATACAAAAAGTTTTGCCCCTTCATCCTCAGATTTGGAATCGGAGCTCGAGATTAGAATCTGCTGAAATGCATTACAGCCATTTTAGCAAGATGTTCAACCCAGAAACCTAAATATATAGTAAATTATTTTGCAATTAGTACTCTTTAGCTAAAAACCTACAATTTAGGCATGCATAAATGATAGGAATAGTTTTAAATTATTTACAATAAATTCAGAATTATTAGCATCTCAATTTTTACAATTTTCTTGGTCTTTCAAGTGCTTTTGGAACACGTTTTTAAACTTGCAACGTTGCAGGTGTAATTGCAACTTTTAGACACAATTCCTTTTTTTCCCTGTGCAGTTCATTCTTCAATTTGCTCTTCATCAAACATTAGGTGAAGCATGGCCAGGTCTTCTCCCCCTAAAATCAAGTTTTTTGTTGGGCAAGTTCTCAAGGGGTCATCTTTCATCAAAGAGGTACTGCTGGCTCTTAACAATTATCTTATCAGTGCGAGCTTTTGCCAGGAGGTAATAGAATCTGTCAACAATCTTTTTTTATGTAAACTCTCTTTGCTTGCATCGTCAAAGTTTGTTGTGAGTAGGGTTTGTGTTGGGTGGCTCCTCCCACTGTACTCTTTTTTGATTGTTGATCAGGCAGAAGAAACATAATAATTAGATCTGGGTGATACTTTCCTATTCAACTTTCTAGTTGATATGGGTATGGAGAAATACTTTGATGTGGATAAAGTGCTTAAACTCAGTGAAAACTGACTAGGTGTTGGTTAGGGCAAAGTGGCCCTTCGAATTGTCCTCATCTTCAGACTTCTTCCATAACATAGAAATTGCTTTTATAACATCTCTAATGACACCTGGAAGGCCTTACCATGGATTGGTTTCCTTCAGAGTCAGGGTGGTGAAAGTTTAAGGTTGATGGAACTTCAATTGTTATATTGGGCACGGCTGGTACTAGGGGAGTCATTTGCAATGAAAATGGAGTTGTATTATGTCTTCTCAAAATCAGTTGGAATTACCCATTCTAATCATGTAGAACTATTGGTGAACTGTGAGGCACTGGGGTTACAAGTGGCTTTAGTTATTGAAAGCAATTCAAGACTTGCAGTTTATGGCTTATGAGTTCAAAAATTTGTTAAACAAAGTTGAGCTGTTGAAGCAACTTCTTGCAGTCTAGATATGTCATACTTTCAGAGAGACTAACTGTTTTCTGGACTCTCACAAAATCTGGGGTCTCAAGGTAGATATTTCATCACTTGGGGCTTGGCCATTCTTAACTTTTTCATTCATGCTATTAACCAGGGCTTCTGAATTTTCCTGTGTGGAGTTCACTGTATAATGGTATCCTACAGATATTTTTGCAGCTTCAGATGAGTTTACTCAGAGCAAATGCACTTATTCAGGATTTATATAAATGACATTAGTTTATCTTATTCATTTTGTTATTCTTCTACGACATATAAAAAAAAAATGTCCATAGAATGGTTTTCCAAGCTAATGAGAATTCAAGTGAAGATCATTTTTTTTTCTTTATGTTTAATCAAGTGAAGAATTGAAGATTTAAATTTAAGATTCCAATTAGAATACATGGATCGTTCTTAAATTGTCCTTAGTCAAAGTATTATCGAGATACGCATCAATAATGTGTTGAGATCCATGTCTTAACTATTCAGACACCTACATGTCTGAGGGTGTGTTTGGGATTGTTGTGGGGGCTTTTTCTTGTAGCCAGACAATGTTTTCAGATATATGTGTATTTGGTAATTTTTTTTCAGATAACTTTTTTCAAAAGTTGTAAAAATCCATAACATGTCTACAGTAATTTTATGTATATAGCCAAAAACCTCAATTTGGAGCTTTTTTGTTGTAACTTTCATGAACAACACCTAATATTTGGTGACAAAATTACCTTTTAAAACCCAACCCTCATTTAATTGAATTACACTACAATTTATAACATTTTATTTAGGGTCTATTTGATATGACGGTTAAAATTTAGGGGATAATAGATAGTGGGTAGTGGGTAGTGGGCAGTGGGCAGTGGGTAGCAGGTAGCAAGTAATGGGTGGTGATTAGCGGATAGCAGATGGCAAATAACAGATAGAAGAAAGTAGGTAATAGATACTAGACAGCAAATTAGATGGATATAACTGTTTGGTTATACAATAATTAGCGATTGTTGTTCAATATTAAATAATTAATAAGGACATATTTAAAAACAATTAAGTGTATTTTTTTTAAAATATTTTTTATTTTTTATTATTAAAATTATTAATTTTATAAAAAATAATAAGAAAATAAATAAATAAAATTAATTTTAATAATGTAATTATACACTCATTTTTATTTTTAACAAAGAAAAAATTATATTATTTTTAAATAAAGAACAAAAAAAATTAATCATTTTATCTACTTAGTAAATTTTGATTATTAAGATAATATTTTTTATAATAAATTAATGTAAAAAATAAAAATATAATAACCGTTTAATATTATTAAAGGTAAAAACACAATTGAAACTTACTAGATAAATACCAATTAAGAATTGTGGCAAAAAATTAAAAAATTAAAATGAATAAATTTGTCAATAAAATTAAAAACTTCCAATCCACTAGTAGTTTGATACAAAAAACTACTTAAGTTAGATTTTTCAATCCACTAGCGGTTTGGACCTTAACTGCCATCCACTAGTCTCAAAGTACTAAATAAAAATTTTTACCAAACATGTTTGTAGCAGTTTTGAAATATACAAGTTTACCAAACACCTATCCTTAACAGTCTGGGCAAAATTGCTAACCACTACTCCAAAACTGTTATACCAACGAGCCCTAACCTCATTTATTTAAAGATTTCATTTCCTTTTTAAAAGTTGCTATCCCACAACCAAAAAGAACACATTATAAAAAACCTAAAAAACCTAAATTATTAAGTAGTAAATGTTGTTTATTTTAATAATTATACATCATACAATATTTTTTACATTTTAATTTATAATTAACAAAATTTACCAATATCATTTACAATACTTTCAAAAAATAAATAACTAACCATCAAAATAACTTTTAACTACAACGATAGTACAACACAGCTATAGCCACAGTACCCCATAGCCATCCCAAACACACCCTGAGTAAAGACTAGTGTAGAAAAGAATTCTAGTGTGAAAATGATTCCTTATACGATTAGGACTTAATTGCGTAACTGGCAAATTTCAGTAAATTAAACAAAATTCATTATGGACACCATGAGCTTAAGTAGACATTTTAAATGTTAAAATATGAGCATGGGCCACAAAAAATTTCAGCCCATGCTCCGAAGCTTAATGGAATTCCAATTGTTTGATGGCTTGTTTCCTTTTATGGCTTTCCTAGTCTAACAAGGATTGAAATTAAGGGTTATACAATGGAGATTTTAGATCAGAAAATTAGACCTCACACTGCATATACCAAGGGAGAATATGAGTTTTCTCCAACAACTTGCCAGCACAGGTTGTGGATTTCAAAGAAAGTTGGTAACAACTTGTGTTCATGCAGATCACCTTTTATACAGCTTCTTTCTTGTGGGAGTCTTAGATTTGATCTACCAATGGAAATAGATTTAAGGAATGTCATAATCTCAAGTTACTTTCACCCAACCCTCCTTTTGTTTATTGGTGGCCATAGATCCCCAGTATGGGTTTAAGAGAAATTTTAAATTTCTATAGCATTACGTTTTCTAAAACCCAACAATTGCACCAGAGCAACTTGCTCAATTCTATTGACGAATTTATTGAATTGCTTATTGAATTATGTTGTGTTTCATCTCAATTAAATTTTTTTAATCAAGATTTAAGTGTTAAATTTAATTTGGATGGTAAGGGGTTGTTCCAGGGTTTTGGTAGACCTTAATAAATGGTAGAAACATAAAAGAGAAAAGGCAAAAAAAGGAGGCAATGGTAGGTTGCTATCCCAAGAAGGCAAAATATAAGACTTACATGGGGAGCGTTTTGATTAGTCAACTTAGTTGGTAACTCATCTGCAAGTGAAGGCCAGAAAACACCCAATTTCTGGCGGACCTGGAAAACAATACTATAAAAGTTTGGAAACACCAAATAATTCCAAAAAGAAAACACCAAAATTAAAAGATGAATGAAAAATCTTGGTTGATTTGAAATGATTGTTTAGTTGGAATTGGAACCAATGAAACTTTCGTAGTAATGAATTGATAATTACCTCTTGAATTACTCGCCACGTAGACTCAAACGGATAGGCCTCAGAAGATCCTCTGATAGGTTTGTTTTCAAGCAAAACTTCCACACATGCCAGGGAAGAATTTGCTATAGACTCGAGATTGTACCCTCCTTCTAATGCTAATACAATCTTACCTTGTGCAAAGTCCATTAACTAGAAAAAGAAAATGAAAAGAAGTTAATTTACAGAACAAAAATAGAAAACAAAATCTAAACCGAGGAAATAAAGAATAGAATTCTAACCTTCTTCAACATAACCGAGTACCCATATGGTGTTACTCGACAACCACCCAAAGGATCACCCACCGCTATTCCAAAAGTCACACAATTTTCATCATAATAAGAAAACATGCTATGTATAATTTTTGTATATAATGAAAGCCTACTATGACCATATATTTAATATGGTTAAACTTGAGACATTTTAAGATAAAAAAACTACTATTGCCATTACTCATTAGATACCTAGCCAACCAAAAAAATTCCATATTTACAAAACTAAATAAAGTCTAGACTCTTAACGTTATACCTGCATCAAATCCTGCAGATATGATAATCATGTCAGGATTAAATTCCTCCACAACAGGAACCAATATATGGTCCCAAACTGCCAGATAATCTGCATCACCACATCTTCCATTTTCCCAAGGAACATTTATATTATATCCTGAACCCGGTCCTTCTCCAATCATAGTATAAAACCCATCATCATTAGCTGGGTAAAAGCTCCCAAACTCGTGCCTGCAAAAATGGAAAATAGTAAAAGTACCATTATAGTGCATTAGAGACCACACATAACAAAAGTTCAAACTAAAACCATTTATTGAGTATAAAATGTATGATGAAAAGACAAATATGAAAGACTGTAAAAGTTTTCATATTTAAATCCATGACAAAGACAAAATCTATCAATAACAAAATAGTTGCATGAAGTAATATCTTAAGGAAGAATATATACAAGTTGCTAATTAGAAGTGAATCCATTATAAGACTTTCAAATTAAAATTTAAAAGTCCAACAGTAAGTTGAAAAGCTATAAGCTTTGAGCAATGTACCTATGAACAGAGAAGAATAGAACGCGAGGATCCTGCCAGAATGTTTTTTGAGTACCATTGCCATGATGAACATCCCAATCAACAATCAAAATTTTCTTTATACCAAGTTCTGGCTGTAGGAGAACAAATAAATAAGGTGATAATTGATGAAAAATGAAAAAAAAAAATTGACTAAAATAAATAAAGCCCAGATCCAATATATGGGATACCCTGAATCATTGCAAAAAAGGAAAAAAAAAATTAATTGCCAAAAACTGGTTCTTACCCTTTCATTTAGGAGAAAACTCGTTGCTATGGCAACATTGTTAAATAGACAAAATCCCATTGCTTCATTTTCTTCAGCATGATGTCCAGGAGGTCTAACAATGGCAAAAGCAGAATCCAGTTCTCCTTTGGCCACTTTTTCTGCAGCCTATTCACAAGTTAAGTAAGGAAAACAAAATAAAAGAAAAAGATTAGTTGTTGGCTTTTGACTATGAATCATGCTGACAATTATAACTGATTTCTTTGAACAATCATGTTCAATAGTTTCAAAGCTCAAATAAGATTCTAAATTTGCTATCAAGTTGATCTTTATTGCCAACAAGGTGAAAGTTGAAAGACTGGTAAAAGAAAACAAAAGGAGCTAGAGAACATAATGTTTTACTATTTTCCACCTACTCTGACAAGAGTTTTTGAGAAATTCAATTTCAATATATTCATGTGGTCAAACAGAGTTTTAAAATAAAAGTTAATAATAAGATGTATTTATTGAAGCTTGTGCATACATATTGTAAGTTGTACTCAGAGAGAATCTTTATTATTATTATTATTATTATTATTATTAGAAGAGGGATCCATTTACATATGAATCTTACGCATCACATTTACACAAAATCTAAATCATTCATCACTCCACTTTTAATGGTTGAGATTCATCACAACTTTTTAGATGAAAAAAAAAATATCTTAAAAATGTGAATAAATCTCAACCATTGAAAATGGAGAGAAGAATGGTTGAGATTTTATGTAAGTGAGATGTGTAAAATTTGTGTGTAAGTAGATCCCTACTCTTGTTGTTGTTGTTGTTATTATTATTATTATTATTGTAGCTAAAGTGTCAAAATGTCCCTAACAGACAAGGTGAGTCAACATGCTTCAAGCCTTGAACCAAGTGAAGATAGAAAGCTACTGGGATAACTTAAGAAAACAATCACAATTATGATAAACAGTTACAACTTACCACTTAATACAATAGAAATTATGTGGGTGCTCAATATATTAATTACCTCAACAACCGAGCCAGCAGCAAGGTAAGCAGCCTCAGATGATCCTTCATTGAAATATATGGAATTCAATTTTGATGCTATTCTATTTCTTCGTGAAGCATACACTTTTGAGCTTATATTCCTAATCAAATTATTATGGTTCTTGGAATGAACAGCCTGTATAAGTTTATCCTCAACTGCTTTGGCATTTAACATCACGCATCTAAAAGGAAGAAAGCAAACAATACGACATTTAGAACAGCGATAAGAATGAAAAATAAATACTCAAATACGACAGAGAGAACAACTTGACCAAGCAATAACCTTTCCCAAAGGAAATGAAATTATAAATGTTGAATCCATATCAAGTAGTTCAGGTTTCCAACAAAATTAAAGAAAAATTCAAGAAGAAAGTAACATGTTTTGAGGTGAAAAGAAAAAAGATTTCTAATTTCTTACAGACAATTCTTCTCTTTCAAGTTTCCTCTAACACACCAATCAAACAGCAGAAAAAACTAATAACAAGTGAAAACTATTAAACATTTACCTCTGAGAAATGTTAGAGTTTTGGAGTTTATTCCAAATTGCTTTGATGCGATTGGGATTCTCGGGGTGAGGTTCGCCATCAGGGGCGCAATGGCTACACATTCTCTCATCGTAGATTAACCCAACCCGACGTTGACAATTATAGTTATTACCGCTCCCCTTGATCTTGTTGGATTCTACTTCCATACTTTGCTGATTTGCCGTGCCCTCGACTCTCGGCTGTCTCCTGAGTTTGGAGACGAGGAAGTTATATATTTTTGCAGGGTTAAAACCTACTTTGGATCCCTGAACTTTTTGTTTGACGTCCTCTTTTACTCCTTAAACTAAAAATTTTCTTGTTGATCCCTTAAAATTAATTTCTGGTGACATTCGATGTTAGTTGGTTAAATTTATTTACCACATCATTAAAATCTTTCAACTTGGCGATTTGAATTTCCACATTATCTAACATGAACCACTTCAACACTTTGAATTACTCATAAGATTATTTTCCTATCAACAAAATTAGTTCGCAAAGCATACTATAATAATTTCTTCTTAGTGGTCTTTAATCTCTCCTCAAATGTTGCTCCAATTTAATTCTACTTTTTCAACTTTCCTTAATAGGTCTTAAATTTTGTCTTGAAAAAAAAAAAAGCAGCTAACCAAGTTTTATGGCACATTAATTAAAATAAAGCTATTTGTCAAAGTTGTGGAAAGTGACCCTTTTTTCGATTCTAACATATAAATATTGATTTGAATCACTTTTGGAAGAACTCTAACTTCAAATCTATGGGATTAATTCAAATCAAGTTATACTGGTTCAAATCTAAAACTCTAATAAAGGAAGTAGGAGCATTTTGCTTGTCCACCCTTGGTTGACTTTAGCCTCACGGTTTTGTGGTCCTTCTTCCCTAATGTTCCTTAGCCCGTGGAAGTGGTCCTTGGTCTCATTGGTGATTGGAGACTGAATAAGCCTCCTAAGTCCTAAGCCTCCTAAGTCCTA